TGAAACAATGCTCATACTTGTACACCGATGCGAACATAGAACAACGTTACCAAACGAGAAATATATCTGTTCCTCCGGGCAAAAGTAACGGATTAGTAGATTAAGATAAAGCAGCTGACCTCGTAGGACAAACAAGTTCAGCACAGACGATTCAGCCCAGCCTAAAGCTTCTCATACGAAAATTAAAATGTGGTACATGTCATCATGCATACATTATAATCAACAAGAATGAAACAGACCTGGGTTTGGAGGAGAGAACTGTTGCTTCTATGCCTCTGTAAAGGTAAATGCTGAAAGGGTAACAACGCAACGGACACTAGAAACAAATTGCAGACTGGCGAAGCTGGGGATTACGATAAATAAACAAGCAACACGTGGAGGTTAAGTAGCACAAGTTTCGTGGTTCGGCTGCTGGAAGTAACGATAAGAGTATTTTAGTACAATCACTAAAACTAACTGCTCAACTGGGGTTGCCGAAGCTTCTATTAAATCAAGTCTTCCATCGTGTGACTGTGACGGGATATGACCGGCCAGGACAGACGAAACTACCGAGATTTCTGGGTCAGCAGATGGGTTCTTTGACGGTATACTGGATACAAGCTATAACGTTATCGAACTTCCAAAGTGAGTAAAACAGTATATTGCAAAGTCCGGTAATTAGGACAGCAATCAATAGAGACAGCAAGTGACGACGCTAAACCGGTGAAAAGGTTTGTTTTGTTTTACTAGCCGTTCCTCGCATCTACTGGCAAACACGTGCAGCACGTGTTTAAACAAATGATTTTAAAACTAACACTGCTAGAAGTAAATCAGTCTTCTAACATGAGAATATCGTGAATGCCAGACTCTTATATCCAAAACACCGTACGACCATTAAGCATTGAACCAAGTCATTCGATTCTGTCATCGACGCTGATCATTTGGCGAAGCATAATCACTGGTGTCAGTAAACACAGACGATGGCCTTGACGTGGTGGCAGTCGTCGAAGAATTTCAGAGTTTTGCAGAACTCTTCAATGAGACTCTGGTTATACACAAAAACAAAACCCGATCTTACGGGCTTACTAACATACTGCTAATTTTTGATATCGCCGCTAAGATGTATAATCCTTTTTTAGCTTCTGATACCAGACTGAAGCGGAGTAAGCACCGTCCCCTTGCTCCTAGTGTGGCCTACGGGACCATTTAAGCAGGCCACAGCTCCATGGTATTTGAGCACTTGCAGTGCGTGGATGCAGAACCGCTCACTTGGCAGGGCCGAACAAGAACCTGTTCAGACACCTGCAAATATGCCACGATCCGTAGGCATATTTACACAGAAAAATAAACTGGCAATACGCCAGTTAAGCCACAAGATCGGGTTTTATTTTTATTCAATCCGTTACCAAAAACTAGAAAAGAAGATTCTGGTTACCCTTGGTGTTCAAATACAGTAAAGCAACGACTTATGAAATAACATAGTCATGAAAAAGTTTATGTAACATATAACCTTCAACTAGATACGTCAGACGACATTCTTAACAATTTACTCGCTGCGGCTGTTGCGGAGATCATCGACGCAAAGCTTCATTCGTCGAAAAAGTACATAATGTGAGGTCAACCTTGAACAACATAGACAGGGAGCTGTAGCCCGACCAACGCTTGCGAATACATAACGTAGCCCAACCTTTCTCAGATACAACCCAACCCGAATTAAGACTGAATATGAGGAAGATGAGATTGGAAGCATTTTAAAATTGGATCAGCGTGAGCCATTCACTCGAACCGGCGAGCTTCTGCAGTAAAAATCGAACTAATACAGACGCCGTTCGTTAAGGAAGCATGAAACATTATGAAAAAGACAAACGAAGACCTCTGTTTAGGGAAAAATTTTCTCATATCAAAGATACTCTAATCTTTGCCATACAGCTAGTCAAAAGCTGACAGTGAAGTAGAGACAGGTAGACTGTAGGCACAAAATATCATCGGGATGACCTGAATTTGCCACAAACAGAATTTTGCTGCTGTGGTCCCAACGCCGGATGAGAAAGGAAGATTTGTAACCGTGGCGAGGTCTACCGCAAATCTTAGTTATCTGCCTCTAAGTACCGTTACCGAACGTTACACCGGCTCGATTGTCGCAGGGGTTACCAAGGGCTGTTAAAGGCTGCCACGGAACTGG